TCACTGTTGGCTGTGCTCTGATGTGTCCCGCAGAGCAGGGGTGCATAAGGGTTGACACGGTTGCCCACTCTCTTTTTGAAAATTTGGAAGCTTCTGTTTTGAGCTTCCTTAACACCCTGCTCTACTGGTTTGCCGTCCGCCTCTGGCTGCCCCTTCCCTGTCTGTTTCCTAAGGAGACGTCTTCTCCTGCAGCCTTCTCTGAAATGTGATGTTACTCAGAATTGTATCCTGGGTCCTTAAGAATATTTCTCATTGTAGGCCGGGTGCAGTGGCTCACGCCTGTAATCCCAGCACTTTGGGAGGCCGAGGTGGCCGTATTACCTGAGGTTAGGAGTTTGAGACCAGCCTGACAAACATGGAGAAACCCCGTCTCTACTAAAAATACAAAAATTAGCGGGCGTGGTGGTGCATGCCTGTCATCCCAGCTACTTGGGAGGTTGAGGCAGGTGAATCACTTGAACCCAGGAGGCAGAGGTTGTGGTGAGCTGAGATTGTGCCATTGCACTCCAGCCTGGGCAACAAGAGTGAAACTCCATCTCAAAAAAAAAAAAAAAAAAGAATATTTCTCATTGTAAAATATAACATGCATGCATACATACATATATATATACACAGAAAAGTGCTTAAAACAAATGTATAGTTTGTACACTTGCAAAATTAGTTACAAGTGAACACCAGTGTGACTACCATGAAGGTCAGAAAGTAGAACTTTGCCAGCACCCTGAAATCGTCCATGTGTCCTTATCAATTACAATTTATCCTTAGAAGTAGCCAGTCTCTTAACTTTTACGATAATATCTTGCTTGCTTTTCTTTTCTCTCCCTCTGTCTCTGTCTCTGTCTCTCTCTTTTTTTTTCTCCGAGTCGGGACCTCATTCTGTCACCCAGGGTGAAGTGCAGTGGTGTGATCAAGGCTCACTGCAGCCTCTACCTCCTGGGCTTAAGCAATCCTCCGGCTTCAGCCTCCCCAGTAGCTGGGACAACAGACACATGCCACCATGCACAGATAATTTTTTTTAAATTGAGACAGAGTCTTGCTCTGTCACCCAGGCTGGAGTGCAGTGGTGCCATCTTGGCTTACTGCAACTCCCACCTCCCAAGTTCAAGAAATTCTCCTGCCTCAGCCTCCTGAGTAGCTGGGGGTACAGGCATGTGCCACCACACCCAGCTAATTTAAAAAATATTTTTAGTAAGGGCGGGGTTTCACCATGTTGGCCAGGCTGTTCTCCAACTCCTGACCTCGTGATCCACCCGCCTTGGCCTCCCAAAGAGTTGGGATTACAGGTGTGAGCCACCGTGCCCGGCCTTTTTTTTTTTTAACTTTTTGTAGAGAAGGGGTCTCACCATGTTGCCCAGGCTGGTCTCAAACTCCTGGGCTCAAGTTGTTACCTGTGGAGGGTGTCCAGGTTCTTAGCATTTTGAACAAAGAATTGGACAAAACACAAACAAAGCAAGGAAAGAATGAAGCAACAAAAACAAGAGATTTATTGGAAACAAAAGTACACTTCACAGGGTGGCAGTGGGCCTGAGCAACCGCTCAAGGGCCCTGGATACAGAATCTTCTGGAGTCCAAATACCCCCTAGAGGTTTCCCATTGGCCACTTGTTGTTCACCCCATGTAAATGAAGTGGTGGCCTGCAATCAGAGACTGATGTGAAGTTACAAAGTTGAACGTCTATGCAAATGAAGACTTGGTCCACAATCAGTCTGATTGGCTGTGGACAACAACCAATCAGAGGCTGAAGTAAAGTTACAAAGTCATACTCCTATGCAAACGTCTGATTGGTTGCAAAAAGCAACTAATCAGAGGTACTTTCAATTTTCCATCTGCAGAAAAGGTGGAGGTTTGCAAAGGGTGTAGCCAGGTGTGGAAAGTTAGGGTTTTCCTTTCAATTTAGTTCTAGGAAGTCAGCGTGAAACAGCCTTAGGTTCCCTGCCTCCAGACCCTATTCTGCCTCAAAGTGATCCTCCTGCTTTGGCCTCCCAAAGCGCTGGGATTACAAGTGTGAGCCACAGTGCCCAGCCTTGCTTTTCTTTAGTTTTATCATCTACATGTGCATTCACTTTTTAAAATGTATTAAATAATGTATTTTTTTGGTAGAGATGGAGATCTTGCCACATTGCCTGGGTTGGTCTCGAACTCTTGGGCTCAAGTGATCCACCTGCCCCGGCCTCCCAAAGTGCTGGGATTACTGGCAGAGCCACTGCACCCAGCTATATGTGCATTCCTAAACAATAATTTAGTTTTGCTTGTTTTTGAACTTTATGTAAATGGAATCACACTGTATGTATTCCTTCGTGTCTTCTTTCACTCAACTTCATATTTGCATGATTTATACATGCTGTGTGTGCTGTAGGTTTTTTTTTTTTTTTTTTTGAGACGGAGTTTCACTCTGTCATCTAGGCTGGAGTGCGGTAGCACAGTGTCAGCTCACTGCAACCTCTGCCTCCTGGGTTCAAGAGATTCTCCTGCCTCAGCCTCCTGAGTAGCTGGGACTACAGGTGCCCGCCACCATGCCTGGCTAATTTTTGTATTTTTAGTAGAGACGGCATTTCACCCTGTTGGCCAAGCTAGTCTTGAACTCCTGACCTCGTGATCCGCCCGCCTCGGCCTCCTAAAGTGCTGGGATTACAGGCGTGAGCCACGGAGCCTGGAGCCTGGCCGTGGCTGTAGTTTAATTGTCATTTCTGTATAGCATTCCACAATTTATTCATTCTGCTCTTGATGGACTTTTGGGTTGTTTCCAATTAGGGCTGTTATGTACAATGGTGCCTTGAACCTTTATATATCTTCTTCCTTCTTTCTTTCTTTCTTTCTCTTTCTTTCTTTCTTTCTTTCTTTCTTTCTTTCTTTCTTTCTTTCTTTCTTTCTTTCTTTCTTTCTTTCTTTCTTTCTTTCTTTCTTTCTTTTTATTGGTGATGGAGTCTCGTTCTGTTGCCCAGGCTGGAGTACAGTGGTGCAATATCGGCTCACTGCAACCTCTGCCTCCTGGGTTCAAAGCGATTCTCTTGCCTCAGCCTCCTGAATGCTGGGTACAGGCACGTGCCACCACTCCGGTAATCCCAGCCTTTTTTCTTTTTTTTTGTATTTTTAGTAGAGATGGGGTTTCACCATGTTGGCCAGGCTGGTCTCAAACTCATGACCTCAGGTGATCCGCCCACATCAGCCTCCCAAAGTGGTGTGATTATAGGCGTGAGTCACCGCACCTGGCCTATATATCTTTCAGTAAAGCTATGTACACTTTTCTCTAGGATATATACCTAGGAATGGAATTGCTGGGTTCTTGGAGATGTGTATCTTTAACTTTAATAGATAATGACAAATTGTTTTCCCAAGTTGTTGAATAGCCCTATCAGCAGTATATGAGGATCTCTACTCTTCTACATCTTCCTCAACACTAATTATCATCAGACTTTTAAAAATTTGCCAGTCTGGCATATGTGAAATGGTATGTTGTTGGTGTGTGTCTGTGTATATAACTTTTTTTTTTTTGAGACGGAGTTTCACTCTTGTTTCCCAGGCTGGAGTGCAATGGTGCGATCTCGGCTCCCTGCAACCTCCGCCTCCTGGGTTCAAGCAAATCTCCTGTCTCAGCCTCCCAAGTAGCTGGGATTACAGGCATGCGCCACCATGCCCGGCTAATTTTGTATTTTTAGTAGAGACGGGTTTTCTCCATGTTGGTCAGGCTGGTCTCGAACTCCTGACCTCAGGTGATCCACCCACCTTGGTCTCCCAAAGTTCTGGGATTACAGGTGTGAGCCACTGCACCGGGCCATATGTGTGTGTATATTTTACAACTTTATTGATATATAATTGATGTGCAACAAATTGCATATGTTTTAAGTGATGATTTGATTAGTAAACATCCTTGAAACCAGAGCCACAATCAAGATAATGCACATATCTATTACCTCAAAAAGTTTTTTCATGCTCCTTCCTCATGCCCCATTCTCCCTCATTCCTCATTTCCCTGACGGTAGATGAGGTTAAGCACCTTTCCATGTTTATTGGATGTTGGGATTTCTTCTTTTGTGATGAGCTCATATAAGTCTCAACAAAGTTGAACAGTGTAATGAAGTAATCAGATGGGAAAGTTAGAAAGATGTGAGGTTGTGGGGATTGAAGTTAAGATTTCAGTGGTACAGCAGTTCTGGGCCATCGCAAGATCCACTCGAGGCCCTAAGAGTGGGTGACTGGAGCAGAAAGGGAGGCCAACAGAGGTGAGGAGGCCGAAGAAACAAGAAGCATGGGATGTGGGATAGATCTTCCACATGAATGTTGAAGTGATTTGGATTTGGGCAAGACTAGGGGGTGGGCAAAAGGATAGAATGAAGGGAAGTGCCTGAGAGGTACAGCAGTCATGGTCTGGAAGGTGCAGTGGGCAGCAAAGAAGGGGCCCGCTCCATCTCCAGATGCAGAAGTATTTGGAGGAGCGAAAGAATCTCTGAGGAAAGGCCTACAGGAGAAGTGGGGTTCTCCAGAGACAGCTAGGTCTCAGTTAAGGAAGGTGTTTAGGGGAGCTTTCTATTTCTGTTGTTGGGGTATTTAGCAATCCCTGTGCTATGGTTTGGATGTGGTTTATTTGTCTCCATCAAAACTCATGTTGAAATTTGATCTCCAAATGTTGGAAGGTGGGTCCTAGTGGGAGGTGTCTGGGTCATGGGGGTGGATCCTTCATGAAAGGCTTGGTGCCAGTCTTGCAGGAGTGAGTGAATTTTCCATCTCACAAGACTGGATTAGTTCTCTCAAGAATGGATCAGTTCCTGCGACAGTGGGTTGTTATAAAGCTGGGATGCCACTCAGGTTTTCCCCTCTTTGCACGTGTCCACTTTCTCTTTGACCTTTTCCACTATGTTGTGACACAGCACAAAAGCCCTTGCCAAAAACCAGGGCCATGCCCTTGAACTTCTCAGCCTACAGAACCACAAGATAAAGAAATCTATTGTCTTTCTAAATTACCCAGTCTCAGGTTTTTTTTTTTTTTTTTTTTTTTTTTTTTTTTTAAATGCATTTTTTTTTTAGACAACCTACATGACATGTTTTTCTTAAAAACAATGCCTCCACTCCAAATAAATCAGTCAAAATAATGAAGAGCTCAAGATGACATCAGTCCCATTTGTCTTAAGTCCTGTGTTGTGTGGATGACAAACAGAAGCCAGTTATGATGACAGGTGATAGATCCAAAGTAATTGCCAAATTTGTTAACATTTTTCAATTTCTAAGCCATCCTTAAAGAAAATCATATATTGAGTCACACCATCCTCATGGTAGTCCGCAGAGCAACCATCTGGATTCATGTTTTCTCGTAGTTTTTGAAATTAGCAAGGATGTGCTTGATTTGTTCTGCAGCCCCTGTCATAAAAGGTTTTACTCTTTTTGGTCTTTGTTCTTCCAGTTTGCCTTTGATTGATTTCATGTAATCTTTGATGCACTTATTGTAGGCTTCTTTTGTGAAGCTTGTTTCTGGCGGGTGATGATTCATGACAATATTGACACCAGTGATTACTGTGCTTTCAGTACCTTTGCCCCCAGGGCCTTCAGCGGAGGCATTTCCACCAATGAGCAAGTCAAAAATGTAACCTTCTGTCCTACTGACTATCTTCCCCTCCACCTCCAGGCACAGCCCGTCTGTGATCTCCCGGATCTTGTTGCTGTCGGAGAACATCTCATTGTCGTTGATGAGGTCCCAGTAGATAATCATGATGGCAGCTGAAGGGAGACAATGGCGGTGCTAGATTAGCAGGAGCCCAGAGCTCGGAGCAAGCTCAGTGCAGCCGAAGTGGTGCTGGTGGGAGAGGGGGAGTGGACGGAAAAACTCAAGTATTCTTTTATAGCAACACAAAACAGACTAAGACAGGAAATTGATACTGAGAAGTAAAGTGTTAGTGATAAGAAATGCCTGAAAATGTGGAAGCAGCTTTGGAAATGGGTAATGGGCAGAGGTTGGAAGAATTTGGAAGAGCAGGCTAGAAAAAACAAGATTCTGGTGAGGGCTTATTAGACAAGACCACTATGGAAGGTCTGGAACCCTTCAGAGATTGGTTAAATGGTCCCAACCAGAATGCTGATGGAAATATGGACAGTAAAGGCCATTCTGGTGAGGTTCCAGATGGAAATGAGGAACAACGTATTGGAAACTGGAGTAAAGGCCATCCTTGTCTTAAATTGACAAAGAACTTGGATGAACTACATCTATGCCCAAAGGCTCTGTGGAAGGCTTACTACAGAATTGAACTGGCAGGGGCAGGAGATCCCTGCTCCATCTAAGATGGAATTTAATAGAATACCTGGTGGAAGAAATTTCTAAGCAGCAAAATGTTCAGGCTGCTGCATGGTTACTTCCAACTGCTTATGGTGAATTTCTGGAGAAAAGGGAAACACAGCAGAAAGAAGAAAAGAGCATTTTCAGGACAGGAAACCAAAAGGAGCCAGGTGCTAAAGTCAAGACAATGGGGAAAAAGACCCTGAAGGCATTTCAGAAATCTTCAAGGCTGCTTTTCCCATCATATGCCTGGAGGCCTAGGAGGACAGAATGGTTTCTGGGGTAAGGCCTGAGCACTGCTGCCCCTGCTCCACCTCAGGACACTGCTCCTCAGATCCCTGCTACATTGTTTCTGAGTCTGGCTGAAGCTCAGTGGCCCCAGGTACTGCTTGGGCCATCACTTCAGAGAGTGCAACCCATAAGCCTTGGTGGCTTCCATGTTGTGTTAAGTCTGTGAGAGCCCAGAATGCAAGAGCCATGGAGACTTGGCAGCTTTCACCTAGATTTCAGAGGATGTATTGGAAAGCCTGGGTGCCCATGCAAAAGCCTGCTGCAGGGGCAGAACCTCCACAGAAAGTGCTCATGAGGCAATGCCTAGTGGACCTATGGGAGTAGGGCTGCCATGGGGACCCCAGAATTATAGACCCACTGGCAGTGTGCAACCTCAGCCTGGAAAAGCCACAGGCATTCAACTCCAATCTGTGAGAGCAGCCACATGGGTAGTATTCAGCAAAGCCATGGGGCAGGGCTGCTTGAGGCCTTGGGAGCCCACTCCTTGCACCAGTGTACATCGGAAGTGGTACATGGAGTAAAAGATTAGTTTGGAGCTTTAAGATTTAATATCTGCCCTGCTGGATTTTGAACTTGTATGGGCCTGTTACCCCCCTTTTTGGGTCCGATTTCTCTCTTTTGGAATGGGTGTGTTTGCCCAATGCTTGTACAACCATTGTATCTTGGAGGTAAATAACTTGATTTTTTTGTTGTTGTTGAGATGGAGTCTTGCTCTGTTGCCCAGGCTGGAGTGCAGTGGTGCAATCTTGGCTCACTGCAAGCTCCGCCTCCTGGGTTTATGCCATTCTGCTACCTCAGCCTCCTGAGTAGCTGGGACTACAAGTGCCCACCACTACACCAGGCTAATTTTGTTTTGTATTTTTAGTAGAGACGGGGTTTCACCATGTTAGCCAGGATGGTCTTGATCTCCTGGCCTTGTGATCCATCCGCCTCGGCCTCCCAAAATGCTGGGATTACAGGCGTGAGCCACCGTGCCTGGCCAATAACTTGATTTTTTATTTTACAGACTTATAGCTGTTAGGAACTTGCCTTGAGTCTCAGATGAGACTGGACTTTTATGTTGGTGCTGGAACAAGTTAAGACTTTTGGGGCTATTGGGATAGAATGATTGTAGGTTGTATGTGAGAAGGACACTAGTTTTGGGGAGCCCAGGGTTGAAATATTATGATTTAGATGTAGTTTGTTTGTCTGCACCAAAACTCATGTTGAAATTTGATCCCCAAATGTTGGGAGGTGGGGCTAGTGGGAGGTGTTTGAGTCATGGGAGCAGCTCCATCATGAATGGCTTAGTGCTGATCTGGTGGTAGCAAGTTCTCACTCTGGTGAGACTGGATGAGTTCTCTCAGGAATGAATCCGTTCTTGTGACAGTGTGTTGTTATAAAGCCGGGATGCCCCTCAGGTTTTCTCTTCTTTGCACATATCCACTTCCCCTTGGACCTTCTTCATCATGTTGTGACACAGCACAAAAGCCCTTGCTAGAAGCCAAGACCATTTCCTTGAATTTCTCAGCCTGCAGAACCGTGAGCTAAAGAAACTTCCTTTCTTTATAAATTACCCAGTCTCATATATTCTATCAACACAAAATGGACTAAGATACCCTGGAATTGGGGTTCCAGGAAGCCACAGTTGAAAACGGTGGGAGGAAGAGGAGCAGGGAAGATTAGGTAGCAGAGCAGAGTATGAAGTAAGTGCTGACCAGAGGAGTTCATAGCCAGGGTAGTGACCTTTAGATAACAGAAACATGAGGTCCATTGGTCCTGGTTCCCAGGGATGCTGTATGAATTGGTCTCAGCAGTGGCTCCACTGGATGGTAAACTCCATAAGGGCAGGCATTGTGCCTCCCTCAGTCACTACTCTACCCTCAGATCCTAATGCGCCACCCAGCATGTTGTAGGAGCTCATTAGACATTTGTTGAATGGAAGCATAAAACAAATGGATGGAGGAGCACACAATGCCTGGCCCATTGTGGGTGCCTGATAGATGGTAGCGACATTTTATTCATGGTATTTTATGATGGATTGATTTAGCCATTTGCATATGTGACACAACATGTCCTTGGAGAGAGTTTATTAATGGGCACTAATGAGGCTTATGAAACACTGAAGTCTATTTAAAGTCTACTAGCATGTGTCCTAAGATGGTGACATTGAAGAAAGTTATAAACCTAATAAAATGAAGTGTAATTGGTCTTAAGTAAGGAGTGGGGGAGGGAATTGGGATGGGCGTGGTGGCTTACGCCTGTAATCTTAGCACGTTGGGAGGCTGAGGCAGGAGGATCACTTGGGCCGAGGAGTTTGAGACCAGCCTGTGCAATATAGCGAGACTGTCTCTACAAAACAATTTAAAAATTAGCCAGGTGTAGTGGTGCATGCCTATGGTCCCAGCTATTCAGGAAGCTGAAGAGAGAGGATTGCTTGAGCCCAGAAGTTCGAGGTTGCAGTGAGCCGTGATTGTGCCACCGCATTCCAGTTTGGGTAACAGAGCAAGACCCTGCCTCAAAAAAAGAAAGGTGGGGGTGGAATCAGAATAAGGATTTGTAAGTGTTTTGCCTGCACTATTCATGGGAGAAAGACACCTGTGATGGACACAGAACTGTGTCACCGAGATCCCCCTTCAAGGAAGGATTTACTGCCAGCTGCTAAAAGTGCTGTCAGCCAAGAGCCTTCTTCAGCCATCAGTTCCTTCAGGGATTGCCTCAGCTTGAGACAGACATCTCACCCAAGGTCAAGCCCTTCATGGCGTGGCCCAGAGCCAGTGACTTATTGAAGCGGGGATATGAAGGCCTGCCCTTTGGCCCAATGTAGGACAACGGACAGGTCATGTGAATGCCAGAGCCAGCACCTGAGTGAGCAGAAGCTTTTTAACACCTGCATTGCTGCTCTTTTCTCCTCCTATTTTTTTTTTTTTTTTTTTGAGATGGAGTCTTGCTGAGTCACCCAGGCTGTAGTACAGTGGTGCAATCTTGGTTTACTGCAACCTCTGCCTCCCAGGTTCAGTTCTCATACCTCAGCCTCTCGAGTAGCTGGGACTACAGGTGCACACCACCACATCTGGCTAATTTTTGTATTTTTAGTAGAGATGGGGTTTCGCCATGTTGTCCAGGCTGGTCTTGAACTCCTGACCTCAGGTGATTCGCCTGCCTCGGCCTCCCAAAGTGCTGGGATTGATTACAGGTGTGAGCCACTTTGCCCAGCTGCCTCCTGTCTAATCTTGTTTCCTTCCTTTCTCTTCCACAGGTGTTGATCCCTGGGCACTAGTAAACATCCTACACAGTAAACTCCATCTAAGAGTGTGCTTCCTGGGGACTTCAACCTGTGATGACAACTTAATGTAAGGGTCAAAAACTCATATGCCTTCAGGGACCTGACAGATACTATAAGGGAATGAAGCTGGTTAGGTTTGACGCAACAGGGAGTGGTGGGAGGTAAATTGGAGAGACTGTGCTCCATTTAAATTTTTTTTTTTTTTTTGAGACAGAGTCTTGCTTTGTTGCCCAGGCTGGAGTGCTGTGGTGCGATCTCAGCTCACTGCAACCTCCGCCTCCCGGGTTCAAGCAATTCTCCTCTCTCAGCCTCCCGAGTAGCTGGGACTACAGGTGCCTGCCACCACACCCGGCTAAGTTTTATATTTTTAGTAGAGATGGGGTTTCATCTTGTTGGTCAGGCTGATCTCGAACTCCTGACCTCAGGTGATCCAACTGCCTTGGCCTCACAAAGTGCTGGGATTACAGGCATAAGCCACCGCGCCCGGCCCCCTAAATTTTTAAAAATTGACAAACAGCACTGTGTACTCTAGACAATGTATGTGAATTCAATTCAGCCTGCAGCCCTCCTGTTTATGACCTTTGTTTGAGAGGTATATTCTCTCTTCTGTTAATTAACATACCAGGACCTGTCTTGTGAGTTTGGTTAGTGTGAGTAAACCCTTAAAAGTTTCATCAGCGTATGGTGGTGTGGCACTGCTGTGGTTTGAATGTGTCCTTCAAAATTTGTGTGTTGGTCATCGGTGGTGGTGGTGGGAGGGGGGCGGGCATGATGAACTGGTGGCTTTATAGGAGGAAGAGAGACCTAGGATGGCATGCTCTTGCTCTCTTGCCATGTGATGTCCCACACTCTGTTATGACTCAGTAAGAAGGCCCTCTCCAGATGCCAGAA